GATATGTGCATGAATAGTGCCACATGAAGATAATTCAATTACAAAAGTATATATAGTAAAGATAATAAGTGAAGTGCAATTGTCCACGTAGAATGATTAGTGGCGACTAATTACTTGCAATTACCACAAGTAGGCATCACAGCAGCATACATAGAGGCATAAACAAATAACAGACGAGGACATACACGCAATCACGCACGTATAATATCAAGACTTAACCGGCAGCGTATACTGTAGTATCTGTTTTAAGGATATTTATGCTTCTTCCTTGTAATAGTGCTCTTAGTACTGGATAGAAGCCATAGAATTCAGAAAAATAATGGATGTTTTGTACACGTGATTGTCTGCCCTTCTATAAATGTTTGTGTTCACTTAGCCCGAAATTTTCACTCCTTTGTAATAGACAAAATTATTATTGGTCTAAATTTTTCTTAAGAGTGTCACGATTACTGCAAGATATACGGTGGTGTTTACGAGAAATCTGGCAATGTAAGTGGCTTAGTTACCTACTTAAAACGGCCAAGAAAGCATTCCTGGTTAGCAACGGCAAAACTTTCAAGCTTCGCTAGTTGCTGGCTATAGTAAAGAAATGTCGCGGAGGTAGTAAAATACGCTCAAAACAAGTAAATTCATGCGTTGCCAACTGTTGCCCTTTTTTTTTTAAGATTGTGGGCTCGCTTTCTGGATTTCGTGCCGATCGGTTGTGTCTCCGAGATCTCCGACGACAGCGCAGCTCTGGCCGATTGGGCTCGCCCTATAGACGCCATCTCCTGACGCCGACAAGAGCGCTCCCTGAGTGGTGCCCCGTCCTCACACTCCTGCAACCGTGTCCATCTTTCCTATATTTGCTTTTCTTCCGTCGTTTTTTGTCGTTCGCTGTCCCTGCACCTCGCGCTTTCCTTCCTCTCTCTATCGCTTTACCTTTAAACCCTATCCCTTTAATATGAATCACAATGGCCAGGTAGCCACTGAAACTTTACCCCCATCCCTCGTGAGCTACTGTTGAGGTGTCGCACTCTGATGCAGACAGTTACGGGACTCACTTTTCTCTGTAAGAATCACATAAGAAAGAGAAAGATTGTGCTGACCATTAAAATATGACAGGTAGCGGGAGAACCGCCCCTACGGGAACTAGTTGTGTGGTTGTGCTACACGAGATAAGTCACCCAGCTACTATCATGCGACTGCGGTAACGAGTTTAGCGTATAGAAGAGTTGCTTGTTGGGCAAGTTGGTACACACTTGGTAGACTACAAAAGCCACAAAACGTCGAAATCGGAAAAGGCAGATTCTCTGTCTCTATTTCCACCGCTCTGCCTTTTCTGATTTCTACGTTTTGTGGCTTTTGTAGTTTACTGAGTTTACCGTAGTTTTCCCGTTCTTATGCATCTGATGACATCAGCTTTATGTTGTTACTGTGACGTGGCTTATCGACGCCATCGTCTTTCCTTCACTACACTAAAATGATTATTGTCTCGATTAAGCTATCACGATATACCTTTTTTACGTTGAGGAATCGAAGGAATGGAATCGACCTGTCTGGCCATTCCTGAAGTGGGAATGGGCAGTTTTTTTCATTTCGAGGAATTGAAAAGAACGTAATTACGGCAAGTCGCAACTTCCCGGAATGTAATTGGAATGGAATGAAGGTGCCCATTCCGCAACACTGTTCCCGAAGACAGCGTTGCAAGCTAAACAGGGAGAGATGGCACGGGGAAAGAAAATAAGTACGTCGCGCGTGCCTCGTGACCTTGAGCACTTCGCCTTTTTTTTCCCTTCGAATACAGATCTTTTCAGGGGGGGGGGGGGGAGATTAAGAAGAAGAGAGAAGGCAGGGAGGTTAACCAGGCACATTCCCGGTTTGCTACCCTACGCTGGGGGAATGTGAAGGGGGCATAAAGATGAGAGAAAGGGAAAGAGAAGAGAAAGAGACAAAAAAAGGATTGTCAGTCAATGGGCTGACGCGTATGCAGCGGCGGCACTACACAAGAGTTAAAGGTGGTCACGTAGGCCTGTAGTCCTCAAAAAGCACAAGACAGCTTTCACTGCTTTTTGAGCCGACGAAAGGCGAGGACAGCGTTCCAGCAGCATCTGCATAGAGAGTGAACGATAGTCCAATTGTCGCAATGCGTCCGAAAGCTTCTGTCGTTCAGAGGCAAACCGAGGGCAATGGCATATCAGATGGTCGATGCTTTCTTTGGTACAGCAGACATCGCATTCCGCATTGTCGGTCAATCCGATGACGGTTGTATATGCTTTTGTGAAGGCAACCCCCAACCAAAGGCGAGAAAGAAGCGAAGCTTCACGTCGATGGAGTCCGGATAGAGGTCGAAGTTCCAGTCGAGGGTTTATTTAGTAGAGTCTCGTATGTCTTATGCTTGGGGTGTTCCACTCCAGCAGACACAGACTACGCACCAGGTGACGAAGTTGCTTTGCAGCGTCAATCATTAAAAAGGAATTGGAAGGGTGCGCTCTTCTTGGTGCGATTTTCCGCGTTGTCTGCGGTATCATTGCCACTGATTCCACAATGGCCAGGTAGCCCATGAAACTTGACCTCGTGGCCTGTTTCTGTGACGTGATGAAGAAGCTTGGCATCCTCGTAAGTTAACTGTTCATGGCAACCTCGTCGAAGCACTGACTGCATGCTCTGTAGGGCAGGTATCGAGTCGGGAAACACAGCCCATTTACTCGGTGTCTGGGATATGATGTACTCTAGGGCGCCACGCAAAGCCGCCCGTTCTGCCGCCGTAGACGTAGTGACGTGTGACAGCTTGATTCGCAGAGTGATCCCTCTAGCTGGAATCACCACCACACCACCAGAACCAGACGCTGTGGTTGAACCATCGGTGTATATGTGCACGTGGTTATTGTGCATTTCATGCAGGAGTTGCAAGCGTAATTGTTTTTGGGCTGATCAAGGCAATTTTGATTTTTTTCTGTATTCCTGGAATTGAAACACGTACTTGTGAACGTTTCATGCACCACGGAGGATACACCAGTTTCTCAGCAGGCGTAAAACCTGACGTAAACGACGCACAATGTGCACAGACAATTTAACTAAACTTCGTGCGGGGTCTCTCAGTAGCGAGGGTTGCCCAAGTGGGGGGAAGGATTCCTAGCATGTTGCCTGAGGTACGCACGCATCGTTTCAATAGTTATGTGCGTCGTGATCGAGTGGTCCTGTGCAATGGCAATTCTTTCAGCTGCCGATGCTCAGCGGGGTAAACCAAGGCATATCCTAAGCACCTGGGCTTGAATATTTTGGATTGTGCTTAGGTGCGTTTTGCACGTGCTAGATATAACAGGTAGGTTCTTCCGCAGGAATCCAATAAATAATACCTTGTACAGCTGTAACATAGACTCGACAGACATTCCCCAACTTTTCCAGACAAGAAACCTGAACAAGTGACAAATGGCGGTCAGCCGCTTTTCCACATAGTTTACGTGGGGTGTCCAAGACAGGTTTCAGTCGATTACGACTCCCAAGAACCTGTGAATGCGGCTGCATGACACCAACTGCCCGGTAATTGATATGGCGTAAGCGGACATTGGTTTTCTGGTGAAAGCCACGAATGCACACTCTCCACTTGCGATTTCGAGCCCTTGTTTGCGTAGGTGGTGCGATCGATGTCCCTGATGCTGTCTTCTGAAGTCGAGCGCGAAGTTGAAGTCTAGTGACACCTGATGTCCACACACGAAGCATAAATGGAAAGTCGTATACTGCTCGGTTGCTTGCCAACTAGTCCAATGAGTGTTAGGTTGAACAGCGTCGGGCGTAGCAATCCGCCTTGCGGGGCTCCTCGGCTACAGTAATACTCAGGTGTCGGCCCATTTTCTGTCTGCACGTGAAATGATCTATTCTGTAGGTAGCTCTGAACCCACGTATATATCTTGCCATCGAGTTCCACTCCTTTTAAAACTCTGAGAATGATTTCGTGAGTGACATTGTCTTATGTCCCTTTAACGACAAGAAACAGAGCAGCAGATAACCGTTTGCAGGCCTTCTGGTGCCTTACGTATGTCACCAAGTCAACTACATTGTTAATTGATGAGCGGCCTCGTCTGAACCCGAACATGGCATCTGAATATATTTCATAGAACTCTAAGTGCCATTCCAGACGTGTTAAAATCATTCCTTCCATAACTTTTCCCACACAGGTCGCGAGGGCAATCGGGCGGTAAGAGGAAATGTCCAAAGGCGACTTGCCGGCTTTGAGAAGTTGAATCAGGTGACTTCAATCTCATTCCTGTGGAACCATGCCAGTTTGCCATTGGGAATCACACGCGCACGCGTGGACAATTCGCTGCTTCCCGCGGCGGCCCAATTGACAACTGAGCGCGTTATGCTCAAATTTGCCAGTGGCTAATATAATGGCTGTGATGAGTTATTTCTGAACTTATACCATCATTTGCCGAGAGAAGAGAAAGCCATTTTATCTGACTTTAAGAATCTTTTCTAGCGTATACGTGTGACTCACGTGTTTTCAGGAGCCTCGACTACCGATCGGCAGCGTTTTGTGACCATGCTCAAAATCTTTGCAGGGCCTCTTCAAACATTTTGGGCTGATCGCCCGTACGTCTATATTTACCTCGTGGATAACAGCGTAAGCTTTTGACTCAAGGTCACCTTAAGGCGGCCTAGAATGGAATGGGATAAAAACACGAGAAGACGCTTAGTTGTTACCACCTTTCTTGCAATATACGGCTTCTCGGCAACGCATGACGATATGATGCCCCTAAAGACACAACATTAAAGTTTCCCATGTGTATGAAAGCATTGATGTAGACTTCTGCCCCAAGTAAAACAGCGTACCCGCTCTCCCGTCAGCTGGATCCTTCGCACCACCTGTTTTTCTTCAACAAAATACCACTTGTGATTCTTTTGCTGTTTTACAATGCGAAGCATCTATTTATGGTCGAGCTCAATCCGGTGTGCGGCGTGACCACCCTTACTGTGCATCCCCACCCCCTATCTCTTCTTCCTTGTTCCCCCTCGCTCACCTCGCAATGTCGACGCAGATAGCGCCTGCTTGGCTAAGCTCGCTCCTCCCTCTCTCTTCTCTAAGCATCCGTATCCGTCCCCACGGCGTCGACACCTCCATTGCGCATGGGCCCGTCTCAAGAGGCTCCTCGTCACAGTCCACCCAGACCCGAGGGTGGCCAACGGGCGAGGACCAAAGCCTCTCCCAGAGACGGGCCTCACCAGGAGAGAACGGGCCTCCCTGTTGCGACTGCGGACTGGCTGCGTGTGGACGGCGGCCCGCCGCCACGCCAAAGGACTCTGCCCCTCCCCGGCCTGCAGTCGTTGCGGAGACCCAGAGACCATCGAACACCTCCTCTGTGCCTGCCCTGGCTTAGCACAGGAACGCTTGAGGGCCTACGCGGCCTACAGGAGACAGGGTCTGCCCGTCTCCACCCTGGAAAACCTGCTGTTCCCGTCTCATCCACATCCAGCAGCACTCCGCAGCCTGGCGGAGTTCGTGGAGGAGTCAGGAATTGCAGCCAACCGCTGATCCCAGGAGCCCTGCTGCCCTTGCCCTTGCCGACGGCCTGCTGCTCGCGCTGAAGCGGACCGGACATCCCTCCTACACACCACACACTATTTCTCCTATCCTCTTTCATCCCCCTCTACCCCACCCCAAAGGCACTGCGCCGTGTCGCCTGTAGGCAGACAGAAATTAGGTGCCTTCTTCCTTTTCCTCATGAACCACTAACAACAACAACAACAACAACAACAACATTGCGCATGCGCTTCCCCTCCTATCTCATTTCCTACACCCCCTTCCCCCATCTGTCACTTCGCAACGCTAACTCAGGCCGCGTTTGTTAATGACTTTCTTGATTGAAATGCCTACTGCTCGCGCTACACAACCATTCAATGGCCACCCCCTATGTATAGCCACTGAACCTTGACCTCCAAGATAGTGCTGGTGGGAGATTTCTCCTGTGCGTTGAACAATACAAATTCGCGGTTTGCGGGTTAACATAAGTGGGCTGTGGGTCTTTTGTCTAATAGGCGACGTCTTCTCCCATTGGCCATTAGCGGTGAAGGGCATGTTCCAGTAGTAAACACTGTAGATCACTGCATGGTTTGCGCCTCAGCATGTTTCTTTCCTACGCAACGACGCGATGAACGCCAGCGCCAACGTCACCGCTAGTTTAAACGTTAGCGCCAGCTGATTCGCATCTACACATGGTTCCCTTTAGCGGGAGACGCTGTAATTTTTTATGTAAATGGTCGGTTACACATATAGCCACTGACTTGCACTGACCTCGCCCGAGTGCCTACGAATTTTCCAGGTTGTTTCAGAGTCTTCCAAGAAGATTGTATACCGCACGGGATTGAAATAGTTTGTTCTGGAAGTAACCAGGTCATCAAAGATAACAATAGAGTCTTCAATTCCGCAGGTGTAAAAGGTCGACGTGCTTCATTGCTCATCATATCATAATCAACGACCGACGGCTGTTCTCGCCGGCAATGGTATACAGCTTAAATCAATTATACTATCCCGTTTCCTTTGTAGAACACAAGTTTGTTCAAATAAAGAGTTATGCATTCTCGAGTTCGGCCAAAGTCCCGGCCCCGTGAAAAGATTTACCTAATCCTTTCCGGCACGCTCCGACAACCATGAAGGGACATTAGTGACTCCATGTCAGGCGTAAACGAAACCATCAAATTATCTCCCTTTAACAATTTTGCATGCAAAATGATATATAAAGACATTGCTGGTTCTTTGATAAAAAAAATATCAAGCACCTACTCGAAACGAGAAGGGCAATGTTTTCAAGAACTGATTCGTTTAATTTCAATTATGGTTTCAGCAATGCTGAAGACCTGACTATATACCTGCGTATTTCAATCTCGAATTTTCGTTTGAGTGCTACCTCAACCTTACACTCTTACGGCTAACGCACAATACTCACAGATCGAAACGTGCCATATCATTGTTTATTTGTTTTTTTTTTCAATAAAGCGACAACTGTCAGCAGTGGATCATGATAAACACGTCGCATCGCTTCAAATCTGAACCTTAGGCGTATGCTATTGGCTCAGATATAGGTGTACCGAGTCAAAACTGAGCCTATAGAAGACAAACTGGAGACGCTGAAAACAAAAGTGCGCATATTACTTACTCGTAAATTTTCGCTTTTCATGCCGTGAGTACTGTATAAAAGTGTCGTGCTCTATATGGCGTGGCATATAGTGAATAGGCTCACAGTTCACCGAGACTATTAGGCACGCATACCCTCTTGCTTGTCCTACTAGTAATGGCACGCGCGATGGAAATTCTCTTGTGGGCGACCCTAGCTATTACAAGCAAAGGGAGCTTAAACAGCTCTCCCAGCCGTGCGCAAGCGTCATCGAAAACACTCCGCTTCAAATTGTAGGGCTTCTTCTCCAGCTTATGATTGCTTCTGGATGTTTTTTGCGCACGAAGGGGCTTGCGATATTTGCCCCTTTTCTTCCTGATGCATAGAACATGTCCTCTAGGCATCGCGCTCTACTGACAAGGTCGATATTCCGTTCTTCTTGCTAGAGGCACTCCAGAAGCACTTGCACAATAGCTTCCTCCCCTTCCCCTCAAATGCACGGCAGGGAGAAAAAATGATATAATAAAAAGAATAAAACCAAATATGAGCCGAAGTAAAACATATCAGAATATGTTCACTATCCGTCGTTATGAAAAATATCAAAAAGAAAATAATATACACTCTTCTTTATGAAGAGCTTCTGACGTACAAGACGAAATGGGTTCCGTCCATTAAGTTTCTGCGTTTCTGTTTCGGGGCAACTGTAGATTTTACTTTTTAACTTTGGTTCCTTGAGCGCGATGACCAGAGTTTTCAAATAATAGAGTTTTTGGGCCGCAGGATTCGCTTTTCTGGGCCACATGTGCTTTATGAGTGAAGGTACAACTGCCGCCAAGATGCTATCTAGGAGAACAATTCTCAGGAGTCCTTTTCCTATCGAGGAAATTTATGGGGTGGCTGGGCATGCCTGACGAATACTTCATTTCTTCCTTTTTCTCTTTCTCTCATATCTCTTCATTTCTTTCATGTTGAGCAGTGCTCCCTCTTTTTCTTCTTCCTCCATGCCGTGATCGAATGGCAGCTTCGTACATGTGGAGTTCAGCGCAATTATAAGGTTATCGCGCAAGTGGCGACCAAGACCTGCAACAGTGCCACGTCCCATAGAAAACACTCTTTCAGGGAGAGGCAGGTGTCACTAAAACTTCACTCTCAACTTTCACTCTCCGTTTTGGGGGTTCTTTAGGCTGAGATCACTCCCGTCTGCAGAAGAACTTTAAACAAAGCCATGCCAATCAGCAGTTCCATCACATTTTCCATGGTAATTTAGTTAGCATCCGCGCAGATAAATGCCCACTAAGTATAGTCTTGATCGCATCGAATAGATAGCCTAATATAGAGAGAAAGGAGGTAGACTTAGTTGTAGGGACAATTGTTGCCACATAAAACATCCAACGAGGGCGAGAGGAATGCGCAATCTTGATTTTCACAATTCTATAACGTGCCGCTAGTCCCCCCCCCCCCCCCCCCCCGAGACGCAACGGCAGTCAACACCAGCGCGATAACATGCATATCACGCGTGACTGTACTTAGCAGCACTACGCTTCAGTCGCTACAATTAACAACAATAGTGATGAGTTCATGTTTAGGCAAAAAACGGCAGGCCTGAGCGGAAGGTGCAGCACAGTCACAGCGAATGCTAGAAGAGCGGCCTTTCAGAGCCTTTTCAAAACACTCATTGGGTGATTACTGCAAGCACACTTGCTTGATACCAACTAGGGCATTATTAATAAACTTCTGGGTGCTAGGCCCGCATTCGCTATGTTATTTTTCGTGATATGTCTGAGAAGCACGGTATCCGCTAAACACTTGCACGAAATTTCGTGCGAATTGTTCATCCAGTGGCTGACGACGATGAGGAATCACGGCAGAAGTGGGTATGCGCCACAGTTTATAGGAGAACAAGAAGAAGCTTTTGTAATGTGTTGGAGCGTTGGACGGCCCGCTGGTTACGCTATTCGCATTGTGCGACGACTGGTTGTTCTTTCGCTATTTCAAAACGCTTTGTAAGTCGTATCGACGCGATTGCTTTCCCGAAATCAAGCCTGCCTAAGGCAAGTTTTGCCATCAAGTCACAAGCACGAGCGCAGCTCAGTGGTATAATACGGGGCTGGCACCTAGCGAACCCGTGTTTCGAGCCCCACTGCGTCTTTGGTGCTAGGTTTGCTAACAAGTAACAAGCACCGGCGTAGTTCAGTGGTTGAATTCTGGACTGACACCCAGCAGACCCGGGATTCGAGCCCCACTGTGTCTTTGGTGCTAGGTTTTTTTTTTTTTTTCTAATTTCGCACGATGTGGTTATACGGATATTGGCGGCGGCGGCGGCGGACAACTGCGCGTGAACAGCCTTCCCTATAAAAAAAAATGGCAGCATATCCACGGAGTGAATGATGGATAGTGGGGCGAAATCCGTCCGTACATTCGTTCTTGCTTCCGTCCATCCATGCGTGCGCCTGCATGTGTAGCCGCCCGGGCGTCCATCCACCCGTCCGCGCGTGCGTCTGTTCGTGCGTCCGCACGTTCATCTCTGCACCCGTCCCTGTTTTCGTTCATGCATCCGCTCCTGCGTCCGTCCATGCATCCATCCGTCCGTACAGCCATCCATGCGTCCGTCCATGCATCTGTGTGTCCATTCGTTCACGTATTCAACACTCCAGGTACCACCATCTCGCAAGTTTTCATCATATATTCCTTATATAGAAGCACCGCCATCCAGCGGACATTCCGAGGACTGAACGAGAGGAGGCACACGCACACTTTCTTACGGCTTTTGCTTCGTGACTACTTCCCACGTTTAACCAACTCGAGTCCAAGGTATATTCTAGTTCACCATATTCATGGCACTGCGGCCCAACGCTCGCTAAACCTTTCTAAAACCTAGGAGGTTACGCCCAGCGAGTATAACGTAGCAACCCTTTCTTGTCTTCTGTGCGTTGATGAACAATAAAAATTCGCAGCGTGCACGTTAACTAAAAGCCGAATTTTCCTGTCTCTCATTCCCCCTTAGCAGAGA